ACGAGAGAGAGAGAGAGAGAGAGAGAGAGTGTGTGTGTGTGTGTGTGTGTGTGTGTATACACTGCATATGAACAGGTCAGTTCTGGATAAGTTACTATGGGGATATCTACACTACAGCAGCACAGTTACGGTGCTGTGGCCATGCCGCTGTAGTGCAGATGCTTTCTACATTGACAGAAGGGATTTTTTCATTGATGTAGTTCAGAGGTTCTCAAATTTCCTTGCAACGTGACCCCCTTCTGACAACAAAAATTACTACATGACCCCATGAGGGGGGACTGAAGCCTGAGCCCGCCCAAGTCCTGCAGCTCCAGGTGGGAGGGCCAGAGCCTGAACCTGAGCCCTACCGCCACAGGCAAGGGGGCCAAAGCCAAAGCCCAAGGGCTTCAGCCCCAGCTGGGGGGCCTGTAACCTGAGCCCTGCCAGCCAGGGCAATAGACCTTGGGCTTTGGCTTTAGCTTTGGCTGGGCAGTGGGGCTTGGGGTTGGGCTTGGGCCCCGGGCTCCAGCAAGTCTAACGCCAGCCCTGGCGACCCCATTAAAAAGGGGGTGTGACCCACTTTGGGGTCCCAGCCCACAGTTTGAGAACCACTGATTGTAGTTAATCCACCTCTCTGAGAGGCAGTAGCTAGGTTGATGGAAGAATTCAGCCTTGCTGCATCTACAATGCGGGTTAGGTTGCTCTATCTACATCGCACAGAGCAAGAAATTTTTCACAGGCCTGAGTGATGTAACTAGGTTGATCTAATTTTAGGTATAGACCAGGCCTAGGGCACACGAGTTCATTTGAATTGTTGATATATAATTTTTGGTACAAATTAACCTGCATTTTTACATTAGCTTAAATGAAGCCAATTTCTGAGTCTCGCAGACATACTGATTAGTCATTTAACATTTCTGGACTCAGTAACTCTATCTTCATTAAGAAAGTCATTTTTTGTAATACTTGTCTCTAAAGAGGACCATGGGGATTTTTAAGAGGTGGTATTAATTAGCATTAGAAGACCATGAAGAACTTTCCTAAACAAATTCAATGTATTTTTTTTCACATGGAACAGAATTTTATTCAAAAGACCCAGTTGACTTAATAATTATCTTGAAACCAAAGCTGGATTTTAAGCCCTAGAAGGGCATATATAATTTCCAGGTGGCTGGCACCTGTGCAATTTAGCAGCAAGGAGGGGCATTAGGATGCTTATCTGTGGAGCAGCAGGAGGGCTGGCAAGGGAGCTCAGGGATTGTGGAAAGGGGTTAGGGTGACCAGATGTTCCGATTTTATAGGAACAGTTATGATATTCAGGGCTTTTTCTTATACAGGCACCTATACAGGCCATCCCGATTTTTCACATTTGCTATCTGGTCACCCTAAAAGGGTTGTCAGGATTACTTTCTGGAGGGGTTATAGGAGAACTTGGCATGTAGGAGGGTGATTGAGTTCATTGTTGGTGAGAGGAGTGGCAGTAAAGTTAGGCAGCTGAAACACTGATTGTGATGTGTGGTGGTGGTTTCTGGGAAAATTAAGCAGGTGGGAAGGTCAAGATTTTTTGCCAGGGAGTTTGCAAGAGTGATCAGCAGAGAGAACGGGGTTGTGCTGTTTGTTATGTGGAAAGGGTCAGTAACTAGAAAGAGGGGTCAGGGAAATAGACCTGGCACTCGGTGTTGTGAGTTCAGCAGATAAGGACAAGTGAGAAAGATGCTTGCGGGGGTGGGAGGGAGCGTTTCCAGAAGAGTATAATCTACAGTGCAGTTTACAGGGGGCTTGATTCTGATCTCACTTAAACTGGTGTAGATCAGAAGTGAGCGCAGTAAAATTGATGTAAAGAAGGGGTAAGTAGGGTCAGAATCAGACCCCTTGCCTGCAGTTGTCCAAGGGTTACCAAAATACTGACACTGTTCATAATATTTAAAATAGGTTTTTCCCCCCTCCTGATTGTTTTGTAAAGACACTCTGGAAATGTGAAACACTTCTTGGAACATTCTTGGTCCTTACTGAATAATTTTATTTTTGCCTTGCATCATTTTTTATTGTAGGGGTGTTCAAAACTCCTTACTATGGATGCATTAGGCCTTTGTAAATAGCTACAGGGAATAAAGTGAATCAGATTTTTTAGCCCAATTTTGTCTTTTTTAGTTGTTTGTTTTGTAAAATCAATATTTATTTTTAACTGGAATACCTCCAAGCCTATGCTGGATATGGTAATGTTATAGTAAGAGGAAGCAGAGCTGGAGCTAGGCATAAGCAGATTAAGGCCTGGTCTACACTAATGAAGTAAATCGATCCAAGTTATGCTAGTTAAGTTACATAAGATATGTAACTTAAGTCAAAGTAGCTTAGACCGACTTATGGCGGTGTCTATGCTGCGCTGTTTCTGTGTGAGACACTCTCCCATTGACATAGCATCCATCTCTAGGGGAGATGGAGTACTGAAATTATTTATGTAGCACTATAAATGTTCTGTTCAGTTTGCAAAAAACATTCGTGATGAGGTGCCCCATTACTGATGACACTTTTGTAGTGCAGGCTTCAAGTTCTTTCTTGATGCCACCCATGTTATCGACAATAGAGCTGAAGGAGGTGAAATAACTGAAAATCTCGACAAAGTGGTTACCCACTGATATGCTAGAGCCCACAACACGTTCAGAATTGCTGATTAGAGGAATTTGTTTTTCCCCCAATTAATTTTCAGGCTGAATTTTGCTGCTGAGATTTTCAGAGCTTTAAATGCTACAACTAGCTCATCCATTGATTTGACAACTAGTGCTATGCCAATGGCAAAATTGATATAGGTGAGATGCTTGTCACCAAGGCATATACCTAAAATGCATTTACTTAGTATCTGCTCAAGCACGTAGTCTATGATGGGACTGAAGAGTTCTGGAATGGCACCGAATGCCCAACCTAATTCTTAAGAAGGCGGTTCTTTTTCCATTTACAAGGATGCAGCTTGAGGAATCATCAGATAGGAGATGGAACATTTTACGGAGCTTGTCAGGGAAGCCTGCAAGTTTCAAGAACAGCCAAAGTGATTCCCTGTCAACAGAGTCAAACCTGACCTTGATATCCATAAATGTAATGTGAACAGGGTGCTTGAAGTCTTGTGCCTTCTCAATAAACTGTTGCACTGTGACAATTTGCTCTGTCATGGAATGGCTGGGAGTGAAGCCAGCTTGTTGTAGTCTTCTCTTGCTCCTTAGATATCAGGGGCTTGGGTCAGCAGGACAGAAGCAAAATCTTTCCCTAGGACAGATAGAAAAATAATGTCACAATACACCTCTATCCCGATATAACGCGACCCGATATAACACGAATTCGGATATAACGCGGTAAAGCAGCGCTCCGGGGGGGGGCTGCGCACTCCGGTGGATCAAAGCAAGTTCGATATAACACGGTTTCACCTATAACGCGGTAAGATTTTTTGGCTCCCGAGGACACCGTTATATCGAGGTAAAGGAGTAATTTCAATAGTCCCATTTGCTGCCTTTATGTTTCCCTAGTGGTAAAACAATGCCGTTTTGCCAGTCACACAGGACCACCTCTGTTCTCCAGATGATATTGATCAGAATCTGCAGCCACAAAAGAATAGGTGGTCCAGCACTTTTTAATAGTTCCACAGCAATTCCACAGATTCCTGCCACCTTATTTCCCTTAAGCTTCTTTACATCTCTGTAGCTACTTCACATTACTATAGTTTTCTTTCAAACAGGACTATGTTAATGTGAACTAGGCACCTTTAAGTTCATGCCAGCAGCATCCATGTGGGGCAGTGAGATAGCAGCACCTTGGTGCACTCTGCCATTCACACCCCCATAGTCCACACTGTAGTGCAGTGTAGACATAGCTTAATTTGTGGTCGGTGTTACTGAGCTTGGCAGACTGATAAATTCTACAATTGCTGATGGATGATTTCCAATAATGAGAGATTATAATGTAATCAATCATCTTTGTTTGGGCATTGTCATGCGACCAAGTAAATTGGTGAATTCAAGTCCCATGAAATCAGGTGTTTGTAATGACAGGATCATGAGAAAAACACAACAGTGAAAGGTGTTTACCATTGCTTTTTAAGGTATTTGAGGTCATAGGTCCAATAAGGTTTTTCCGTGCTCCACTTAAATTATCAACAGTAGCATTAAAATTACTGATCAGAGTGACTCATAGACTCTAAGATCAGAAGGAACCATTATGATCATCTAGTCTGACCTCCCGCATGATGCGGGCCACAAAAGCTGACCCACCCACTCCTGGAAGAATTCTCTCCCTTGACTCAGCTGTTGAAGTCCCCAAATCATGATCCAAAGACCACAAATCGCTGAGAATCCTCCAGCAAGCGACCCCTGCCCCATGCTACGGAGGAAGGCGAAAAACCTCCAGGGCCTCTGCCAATCCACCCTGGAGGAAAATTCCTTCCCGACCCCAAATATGGCGATCAGCTGAACCCCGAGCATGCGGGCAAGATTCTCTAGCCAGACCCTCTAGAAAAAGTTCTCTGTAGTAACTTTTAATATCCCATCATTGACCATTGTTACTAATTACCAGCGATGGCACGTTATTGACCTATTGACTAAAATCACTTTATCCCATCAAACCATCCCCTCCATAAACTTATCAAGCTTAATCTTAAAGCCAGAGAGGTCTTTCGCCCCCACTGTTTCCCTCAGAAGGCTGTTCCAAAACTTCACCCCTCTGATGGTTAGAAACCTTCGTCTAATTTCAAGGCTAAACTTCCTGACGGCCAGTTTATATCCATTTGTTCTCTTGTCCACTTAGTACTGAGCTGAAATAATTCCTCTCCCTCCCTGGTATTTATCCCTCTGATATATTTAAAGAGAGCAATCATATCCCCCCCTCAGCCTTCTTTTGGTTAAGGTAAACAAACCGAGCTCCTCGAGTCTCCTTTCATACGACAGATTTTCCATTCCTCTGATCATCCTAGTGGCCCTTCTTTGTACCTGTTCCAGTTTGATTTCATCCTTTTTAAACATGGGAGACCAGAACTGCACACAGTACTCCAAATGAGGTCTCACCAGTGCCTTGTATAACGGAACCAGCACCTCCTTATCCCTACTAGAAATACCTCGCCTAATGCATCCCAAGACCGCATTAGCTTTTTTCACGGCCGCATCACATTGCCGACTCATATACACCTCTACCCCGATATAACGCGACCTGATATAACACGAATTTGGATATAACGTGGTAAAGCAGCGCTCCAGGGGGGTGGGGCTGCGCACTCCGGTGGATCAAAGCAAGTTCAATATAACGCGGTTTCACCTATAACGCGGTACGATTTTTTGGCTCCTGAGGACAGCGTTTTATCGGGGTAGAGGTGTAGTTGAATAAAAAAAGTTCAGTTGATTGTAGAACTTTGTCTTGTCTTCATCAGAAGCTTCACTGCTTGGAGCATAGCAAAGAATAGTTGTTCATCTTCCACGTTTATGCTACAACTGGGCTTTAAGTAGGCAACCAGAAATTGGTTCAAATGATAAGATTGATTTGTGGATATGACATTTAAAGAGGAGTCCCACTCCTTCCTTTTTTGTATCCCAAGCACCCAACTGCAGAAGATGATCCTGGACACCTGGATAAGCAGAGAGACAAAGCTGAGGATATATAACGTTTCGGTGACCTATGGAACTTAAAAATGGCCTCTCACTGTCAGCATTGAAAAGAAGTCGGGCACCATTCAGATGAAGCATCTCTGAATGATTGAAAACATCAAATGATATGAATTCAAGTTGAATGAAGAGATCCGTTTTCTAACTAAACATGTTCTGCTCCCTCAAGCACTTGCTCAACACTCTCTATGGTGGTATGGTCATCTGCTCCAAATACCTACCACCTTCCCTATGAGAATCATTTTTGACTTTGTTCCAATGAAAGCTGGACAGAAAAGACCCCCTGGAAGCCCTAAAATACAATGGATAGATGGCATCAACACACAGCTGTTCCTCACATCCTACTACTGGCATCCTCCCCATAACATGCCAAATTTGACTAAGAACAAAATGGAGTTGCCTAATGCGTTCATTGGATATGCTGTCCAAACAACAACGTGAGAACTAACCCAACCTATAAACATGAATGATGCTTTACAGAGAAATATGAAGACCTCTCTGCCCGAGGAGCTTATAATCCAAACTTAATTATAACAAGTACAGTACACTGCAGTTCATAAAATCATAGAAATGTAGAGCTAATTGGGACCTCCAGAAGTCTGCAAGTCCAGCCCACTGTGCTGAGAAAGGTCCAAGAAAACCTAGATTGTCTCTCACAGGATTTGTCCAACCTCTTCTTAAAAACCTCCAATGATGAGGATTCCCCAACTTCACTTGGAAGCCGATTGCAGAGCTTAGCTACTGTTATAGTTAGAGAGTTTTTCCTAATATCTAACTTCAATCTCCCTTGCTTCAGAGTAAGCCCATTACTTCTTGTCCCACCCTCAGTGGACATGGAGCACAATTGACATTGTCCTCTTTATAACATCCCGGAACATATTTGAAATGTTATCATGTCTCCCCTCATCTTCTTTTCATGCCCAGTTTTTAAAACCTTTCCTCATATGTCAAGTTTTCTAAATGTTTTATCCTCTGGACTATCTGCAATTTATCCACAGCTTTCTTAAAGTGTGGCAGCCAAAAGTGGACACAGTAACCCAGCTGAGGCCTCACTAGTGCCAAGTAGAGGGAGACAATTACCTCCTGTGTCTTACATATGACACTCCTGTTAATACTCCCCAGAATGATATTAGCATTTTTTGCATCTGCTTCACATTGTTGACTCATATTCAATATGTGATCCACTATAAGCCCCAGATCCTTTTCAGCAATACTACCACCGAGCCAGTTATTCCCCATTTTGTAGTTGTGCATTTGATTTTTCCTTCTTAAGTGTAGTACTCTGCACTTGTCTTTACTGAATTTCATCTTGTTGAATTCAGATCAATTCTTTAATTTGTCAGGGTTGTTTTGAAAGATGCTCTTCTTGCATCATTCTCCACGCTGCCTTACCATTTTAATTGGTTTGCATTTAAGGTCCAAATCTGCAGTGCTTATGCAAGCAAAACTTTCTATTAATGTCAGTGGGGAGCCCTCAGTGAGTAAGAACTGCAAGATGGACCTCAAAGAGATCACAGTTAATGTGTAAATAGAAAGAAGGATTAGAGGGCTAATACTAGAAGCCAAATTTCACATTCTTTACTCTGGCAAAATTCCCACCAAAGTAAATGGGGGATTTCCATGAATAAGGGGTGTGGGATTTGTGCCAGTTTGGAAATTACCGAGGCTCTTTGGACCCTCATATTGAACTCCTAGCAGGATCATTTTTCCAGTCTTCAAGCTGAAACACTAAACATCGAGGTCCTGTCTGCTTGGAATGGATATTAAAAATTCTATGATGCTTTTCATAGAGGTCATCTAGATCAGTGGTTCTCAAACTAGGGCCGCCGCTAGTTCAGGGAAAGCTCCTGGTGGGCCGGGCCAGTTTGTTTACCTGCTGCGTCCGCAGATTCAGTCCATCGTGGCTCCCACTGGCCGTGATTCGCCACTCAAGACCAATGGGGGCTGCAGGAAGCAGTGCGGGCCAAGGGATATGCTGGCCACCCTTCCTGCAGCCCCCATTGGCCTGGAGCGGCGAACTGCGGCCAGTGGGAGCCGCGATCGGCCGAACCTGCGGACGTGGCAGGTAAACAAACCGGCCTGGCCCACCAGGGGTTTTCCCTGAACAAGTGGCGGCCCTAGTTTGAGAACCACTGGTCTAGATGATTGCCCATGCCTGTCATTTACCAAAGTCCCCTACTGTCCCCATGACTGTGCTGCAAAAATATGCTCTAATGCCTTTGTTTCTAGATTTCCACATGATACATGATAAGCTACAACTATTCCCAAATGGTGCAAACAATAGGTAACTGAAATCTAGTGTATATACCCTTATAAAGAATATATATTGTGTTCATAACTTTAGGTAATTATCACACGATTTATGAGAAGTTAGTTCAGCAGGTGTGTCAAACTGAACTCGCTGAATTTAAAATACTTACATACGCACATTCATTTGAATGAGCCCCTGCCCTATGCTTCAAAAATTGTTTTCTAAATCCATGAGACACTAACTCATAGTTCCTTTATATAATGTTTATATCATTATTGAAGAAGCATGGTCTAGTGGTTTAAATCCGAGAATTGGGAGTTAAACAATCTAGGTTCTAGTCCTGGCTTCTCATGTGAATATTTTGGACAATC